TATTCCTCCGGGCATTTATTTTTCCCCCCCCCCCCCTTTGCTTTTCATGCGCTGTGTGTTTGGCCAGATGCCGCCCCAAAGCCAAGCCTGTTGCGCATGGAATCCAGGAACCCACGAAGCAGAAAAAGCTGATGTTTCTTGCACTGAATCTGCCGGGCCCTGATAATACCGATGGGGAACGTTTTATAACTTTATTTTTTTGCCTTGCATTCCTGAGCAATTAAACAGAGGCTGGGAAATAACACTTGGCCTTGCTACATGCCTGCTCTTTGCCTGCCTTAGTCGGAAAGTTTCTGACAAACTCCCAGAATTCCCCCACCAACCTGCCGCGGCTGAGAATTCTGGGAGTTTAAAGTCCACATATTTGGAAGTCATCCTGGTTGGGAAAAGCAGACCCCTAGGCAAAATTCTACCTCTTTTCCAACCCCCCTCTCAAAACACACTGGAAACAAACCATCATGTGCCCACAACATGATCCAAAAAGGGCTTTCTGAGGAATAGAGATTCCTAAGGGGAAAAGCTGAATGAAATAAAATCAGCCCTGGGTCCCACCCCGATCCACACCCCACAACTTCTCGAGCAACTGGTATTCTCCCCTAGGCAAGGCCTTTCTTAAGAAGCACTGGTGTTTTCTATTTTTAAAGGCAAACCTATTGGAACGCCTTTTGAAAACGAAGAAATTCCCCATTTCTTTCGGGTTCTTTCCCCTCCAACACCCTGCTAGCATTCGGCGGCCAACGTGCTGGGTTAATGTTGCTCCTCGGATGAGAACGGGCGGCTCGATAAACACGATGGATAAATAAATAAGCCGGCCAGCCTTTTTCTTCCTAAACGTGCCGGGGCGCTTTTCGCTCATCCTCCATCCGCACCGTGATGGGGCTGAAATCCAGTCTAATGAGATTGGAGGATGGCTTACATTGGGCAAAAATGCTCTTGTGAAATTTGGCCTTAGCAAGTTAGGTGGACATCTAGCCTCCGTTGCAAAAAAAACCAGGAGCTGGTCACCCCTTTTCTCGGCTCCCCCATTTCCGCGCAAGGCTGGCGATTTCGTGAGCTGCCAGTGGGTGGAGGGGCAGGACGGGCACAGGGTGGGCATGGAGACTTTCCCCCAGCGAGAAATGTCAGTTACAGGCCACTTCCCCGTCGTCTGGAAACGTAGTCCATTAATTCTGGAAAAACAGGTTGTCTGAATTCGGTCCTTTTCGGAGGACGTGGCAGATCTGAGCGTGCTGGTGAGAAAGGTACAATTAGCTTGTTTAATCTCAGCCTCGTCTCCATCCTTCCAAGTTCTGAATTGTTTGCCCTGGATAAATATTGAACAGGCTTCAGGGCCAACACAAACAAATCCTATCAGAACTGAAAGATCAGCTAACGTGAACCAATATTGGCCTTTCGAGCCGAGCAGCCGCAAAGTCTAATCAATCCAGAGCGATCGGATGCTAGAATTCCCATTCTGACAACTAAAGGCTGCGACAAAGAGATGCTTTAACACCCTGACGTGTTCCTGATTACAAAAGGGGTTGTGACCAGGCAAATACCTTAGATCGTGCCATTTGGTTCACCTTGGCTGATCCCAAAGGGCTAAGCCTGGGCAGACCGGGGATGAGGCACCACGGGGAAATCCAAACAGCAGCCCATCGTGTTTCCGTGTTGCGAAACCACCACCACCAATGTGTTCAAAAGGTTACTCCGGGCACGCTCAATTCAATGAAGCCTTTCCCTTCGCCATGGCAGGGGGCGGCTGTGGGCGAGTCCTTGGAGGGGAGACCACTAGGCGATCTCAGGGTGAGATTGAGAAGTTGGGGGGAAAAACCTCACTCCTGTATTGTTCTCGAGAGAAATGCGTGGCTGGATCTAGGAAGTCAAAATACTGTGTAAGCATCGCCCTTTTCTTTTTTCTCACCCCTCTTTCTTCCCGGCCTCCCAGACCCCAAGTTGAGTTGAAGAAAACCAGCCTCTGCCTCCCTGCCCTTGGAAGTACAAAACAAGATTCTTGCAACCACAGACGGAGGGAGAGCCGAATTCTTTGCCAAGGAGAAATTCCACCTCCGTGACTATGGATAAATGCAGAGCAGCAGATAGAGAAAAAGAGAAAAGTTTTTTGGGGGGGCCCGGTTCCTTGGGGGCAGCCATCGCTCAAACCCCACTGTCATTTTTTGGGCTCAGTCAGCGTTGCACGCCTGCATAAAGGGACATACTTCCCTATGCACAGGCCAGCTAACATACAACAGGCGTTGGCAAGCATGGCGCCTCCCCACATCCCCGGCCCGGGTTGCCATGGACTTGTACATAAACACCCCACGCAGCAAGGCGATCCTTCATTTTGCTGGCTGGCGTGCATGTTTGGGTGTCTGGAAGGGAGCACCAATAAAATATTCGCTCTTCCCACCCAGCCGAAAAGTCTTCCCGGGGCCCTCGACAAGCCTAACACAAACCACATTCCATCCGCGGCTGGAACGGGAGGCCTTGTATGGACAGAGACGCTGTTCCGCCAGCCCCCCCCAGTTAATCTGTCCCATTTCAATTGATATCGCTCTTGCAAATATTGAAAAAAAACCCCAAAGACGCTTAAGCGTTTTTTTTTTTCTCTCGTGGTTGCATAGGAACCAACAAAATATTTCTGCAACCTGGAGGAGATTTGCAGAAAATAGCCCGGTGCTTCTCATTTTTCTCGAAAAAAAAAAAATGTTTCCTTGGAGCCAGCCCGCTTTGCTCCTTTTCGAAGTCCGAAGACTGGATTCGCCCGTGGCTTTGTGCCGGATTGCAGAATAAGCCACCGCGGTGGAGGTGAGTGAGTTCTTTGCTGCAACGGTTTGCAAGCCACGATGAACGGGCGTCTCCCCCACCAAACAAACCACGTTAGAGCTGGGCATGGTGTGAAAAATGCCCGGACGAGTCACAGCTCCTTTGCACGTCTGCATGAACGTCCTGGTTTCGTCCAATAAAGGAGAAACAACAATCTAAAAATGGGATTTTCTTGTTCTCGAGGGGTGCAAATCATGTTTGAATCCTTTGTAATCTCTGAATCATTGGAAAGACCCACGTCCCCTCTGTCTTCAGGCAGTTGAGGACTTAAAGAATATTCTTTTAATGGAAAATTAAAGCAAAGCGCCTTAACCCTTAACTCCCTCCGCGTGCGAGATGGACAGCCACAGACTTCCACTGTTAATAAACTTTTATTTCGGTTTCGTTTCATTTTCATTGGGGTACTAATGCTCTACAATCAACCAGGGAGAAACCAGGGAGAGGTTTAAAAACTGTACAAGCCAGACACACCCAGGAGGTGGATAAACGGAAGGAAGGGGAGAAGAAAGAGTACAGACAAACGGGAGAAGTGCCTGAATCTCAGTGTGAGTGGAAGAGGGGATCCAAGACAATTAAAAATGCTCGGCTCTGCACACATTAAAACTCTGTGCAATTTTTAAAGTGTTCCACTTGCAACAAATTTGGGTTTTTTCCCCCTTTGTTTAAAAAAACGGAGAAGCCCATGAAGATCTCCTCCCAAATCTTACTTTGGCACCAGTCGTGTGCTTAAAACAAAACAAGACATAATAATAATAACCTCTAGCCTATTTGTCTTCTCTTCATTTAAAACAAATTACAACTCCCTACAGCAGCATGTCTTAAAAACATCGACAACAAAAATCCAGCATCCTTTTACATTCAAAACATGGCAATATGTATATGTACATATCTATATCTATATATTAACATTTCCCCCCTCCAAACAGATTAGCCCCATGTACCAACACACATCAAACAGAAGCACACACCTTTACACAAATCCGGTGGGAGGGACGCCGACGAGAGAAAACGCTTCTTCCACCTCCATTAGGTTAATAAAATATGTGCAGAGTAAATCTCTTGGAAGGCAGTATCAAAGTTTGTCAACTCGGTAAACGTTCTCCCTTTGGTGGTTGGATCAAGGATATCTGCTTTTCTAGATCCGCACGCTCCTGGCAGATTGCAAGGCTCGACCAACCCAGAAAGTAGAGGATGGTGGCTAAGCGTGACCCCCCAACCGAAGAGCTGGTCGCTTGCCAGCAGCTGTATGTTAGCTTGGCTAGACGGGAAGTGGGATTTAGTCTGATGGCACACCGGGAATCCAAGATGGAACTTGGTTAGCCAGCTAAACCGCCTTCCATGCCTTCCCACAATGGCCCCCCTTCAAGCCGAGATTCCTGACACCCCAATCTCCAGCCAGCTGCGTGGGGGAAACTCGTGAGCGGTTGGTGGTTCCTCCACATCTGGAAAGGAAGAATTAGGAACGATGGTTCTAGAAAGCAGGTGGGTTCTTCGTGCGGGCAGAGGACGTTCCCCCCGGATATTCCTTTCATCCCAAACTTTCAAGTATTTTCTCCAGCAAGAGGCGGGGGCGAGCAACGCAGCATCGAGGCCGGGCGATTCCGTGGGCATCAAGGCACGGTGGTGAACCACTGAGCATAATGCAGGAAAAAAACAACGTGCATAGGATCAGGCCATGGAAGGATCTCTCCCCACGGGTGGCTCGCTGCTTCCCCATCACCATCATTCGGGCCTCGTCCATTTTCCTGCGGACAGATCGGGCCGCTCGCCCAGTTTGAGTCTCTGCGCCACCTCCAGCGCGGCCGAGCCACTGAGCCTTGCCCGCTCGATGAAATTCTGCAGGACCAGCCGCCTTTCGTGGGCTGGTGGGGAGCGGGAAATTAAACGACAACACGGAAAGGTTGGCTGGAATCTTTTCCAGAAAATCCCACGAGGATCTGATCTTCGAAAGACAGGGATTTCCGCCCCCCCGCCGCCTGGGCACAGTGACAGGGCACGGAGCAAATTTTTTAAAAAACGGGCGGGGAAGGGCCGTGCGAGTAAGGGGGAGCCCAAGATTTTTGTCTAAACGAATCCAACACTGTTTGCTCCGCGCAAGAGGCTGTCCTTCCAGCGTCCACGGGGGTCACTGGTAGAGAAGGTAATTTTTGAGAGATTTGGGCAAAGGCAGCGTAGGGATCTCACTCAGCCGGTTCCTGCCCAAAGTGAGGCGCACCGCACGCCGGCAGAGGTCCATCAGCGGTAAAGGCTCGGCTGCAAGGGAAACAAAGCCAGAATTAGCACCGCGCACAGACCTGAAACTTGCACAGACACGCTGAGCTCTTTCAGCGAGCCCATCTGTAGGTTGGGTATAATCCAAACGGACAAACGTGATCCAGATCACGGGCAAACAGGCTCGGATTTGGAAATGGCTCTTCCCGTTCAGCTTCGTCCCAGAGGCCAATTTGCCTTTTTTTAACTTGCTGGAACTAGACTGGCCTTCATCCCAGACAGTGTTTCTCAACCGCAGCAACTTGAACATTCTGTGGACTTCAACTCCCAGAATTCCCCAGCCAGCATGCAGAATTCTGGGAGTTGAAGTCCACACGTCTTCAGGTCGCTGCGGTTGAGAAACGCCGCTCTAGGATATCCATCAGCACAGAGCCAAACTGCAACGCGAAGTGCAGAAGAACCCCTTTCGCTCTGAAAAGTTGCATGCTTTTTTTCCCGAAAGCCCCCCAAATCTCACCTCCGCTAGACCCAGAGAGCCCCAAGGCTGCCAAAAGAGGAATCCTTCAGCCCCTCTGGCACCTCTCCCCGAGTCCCAGACTTCCAGAGGGGCTAAGATGCCACAGGTGAAACTAAGTCACGCCTGGGATGTCCCTGCGCAGCTGGAGAAGGTCCCCGGTTGTGTTTCTAATGCTTCTCCCTGTATCCTTGAACTAGCCTGGTTTGAGCACGGCCAGCTTCTTGACCGCCACAGGCCTTACGAACATAGTTTTGTCTACGACACCGACTGGGAAATTTAGCTGAGCTGGGAGGAAAAAGCAGCCCCGGGGCACGGTAGCTCGGGAGCGATTCTGACCTTCGCATTCCCGAGAAAATGTCATCCTGTTGACAAAGTTTCTCTAACTCATCCCCGTGCAAAGCCAGCGAGCAGGCAGGACACCTGCAGCCGCCTGAACAGGCGACGTCACAAATATCGGCAATTAAACCTCTTTTTGCAGTGACTTATTTTCCAGCTGCCGTTTCCTCCCCAGACAGATTTTCCAGCGTCGGTTGCCAACGCCAAGCCTCGATCACGCAAAGTGACGGCTGGGCGGCTCGGGAGAGCCCTGAGCAGCATTCAAGGGTCAGAATGGTGCGCCCCGATTTGGGGTGCTTGGGCTCCTCGGAGACGTGGGTGCCAATAGAGAGCTTCAACTGGAGGCAAGGGTGCCTCTGAGCCTATTCAAAGTGCCCTCCTTAGTTTCCGTAAGAGTTTAAGGTAGGACTTAGCCAGCATGCTCATGAGGACGGTGAGCGGTCCCAAAAACTCCCTGCAAAGTCGCATGGATTCAGAAGCCCTGAATGAATTGCTCAGGAAAGCCTGTTTAAGATTTCACTAACTTTTCTGCCGGGAATTCTGTCCTTTTTGGAAATCACCCCGACCGGCAGGGCAATGAATGGCGAATGTGGGGTGGTCTTCTCTAAGGAGAGGACGGGAACAACCCGTCCAAGCTTGACACTGATCCAAGAGGGAAAACAAAGTTACTAGATCTCAAGGTTGCAGAGAAGAGTTGGAGCAAAACCCACCTTTGCACTCCCTCGCCTGGGCAGAATTCTCCTCGCCCTAGGCGACCAGCTCCACAGCTACTCTGAATTGCTGAGAAATGCAATGTTACCCCCCAAAAGAGACAAAAACAGAATCCTGGCTGGGAGGGTGGGGGACAGCCTCCCCGCGGTGCCTTCTAGGAAACAGGCATCGCAAAGGTCGCCATTTTGTGAAGGCGACCGCGAATCCCCAAAGCTCGCCACGTGCCCCCTTCCCAGGGTTTTGCCGCCCTGCGAGAGCGGAAATCCTCTTTCTCTCCAGATTGCGAGGAAACAGCTCAAGATTGAGGCTGCTCCGCTTCCTCTGCCAAAAAACCCATTTTGCAAGGGGATAATAAAACCCACTCGGGTTGCCAAGCGCTCGCAGCTGAAACCCAAGAACCGACAAAGATTGTGCCACACACCAGGAATAAAAAGAGAGAAGCAGATGAATCAAAGGCCAGAGAGATTCTCGAGACTTATGACTCAGCACCTGGTCTCAAACTCTTTATCACGAACAGGAATTTAGCCGTCTGCTTCCAGATAAGCCAGCAGGCCCATCGGCTGCTGCATTTTTTAAACGTGTCCTCACAAAAAGCCACGGATGCCAGGGTTTCAGAGGAGCCAAAAACATTTCTTGGTTAGTTTCCCTCTTCCACAAAGTCTGGCTTCTCCTCCCCGATGAAAATCGGAGCCCCAGTTTGTATGGGAGCCCCAAGAAGCAAAAAAAAATCCAGCCAGCCTTGAGTTTCTGCATAATTCGTGTTTCCCAGCTGGCTAGAGATCAGCTCTGAGCAGGAGATCACGCAGAGACCAACAGGCACCCCCTTCTCATGCAACACGCGCTGCTCGGGTTCCCCTGGAAGTCATACAAGGAGCCCATCACGCTCGGTGTATGAAAGGAGGAAGGCGACCAACTTCTCCAACAAAAGCTGGTCGACAGGGAAATGGCGGGGAACGAGAACTCATGCAGAGGGGCAACAGGCAGCCTCCTCTGAAGACGAACCGGTGAAGGAGCACAAAGAATGGATTCAGTTATCCCGAACAGAGGCCAAACTGAACGACGGTCGTAAGCAGAGGCACGCAGACCACAAACCCCCCCAAAGGAAAAAGACTTACGGTCAAGGCCGTTCAAGTATCGCATCTGAATTTCGCAGTGTCCCCACACAGCGCTCACCACCGGATAGAGCTTCTTCCCTTTCAGCCCCCGGAAGGCCACGCCCATGTACTGTCCGTCAACGATGAAGCTCAGGGTGCCGTCGTCCATGTCCAGCACCACCAAGAACGAATCCGGCACGATGAACGTCTCGTCTGGCTCCAGAAACGCCGGGTAGGTCTTGCTCGCCTGGTTCTTCCCGTCGTGATAGAGCCGGTTCCGGCCCAGATCCCAGCCCCAAGACTCGTGGTTGTTCCCGATGAGCGTGGTGTACCCCACGGAGTGCAAGGGGGCCTCGGCCGTGGCCACGCCCACCACCGCGTGGGTCCCCCGCTGCCTCATCGCCCACGTGATCTGCCAGACGTGAAGCCCGCGCGTGTAGCCCACTTTGCCCCGGATGGCGTCGGTGCTCTGGGCCACCGGGTGCCGGTGGAAGATCAGCTTGTTGTCCTCCTTCACGAAGACGTTGAGCGAGCGGTCGTCGTTGTTCCACGAGTGCAGCAGCTGGACCTCGTAGGAGACCGCCGGCATGTCCAGGAGGAGATCGAGCCGAGCCGGCTTGCCGTAATCCAGCCCTTGGAGCTCCTGCTTCAACGGCCGGCACACGGGGTCCCGCATGTCCACCGTCTTGATCCCCCCCGTGACTTTCTGCCCCATGGCTCAAGGTCCCCGGTCACCTCTTCATCAACTCTCGGCGACGGTCACCCGGCGGGCGAGCCCACCGCTCCGAGACCTCGCCCAGACGCTGCCGCAGCCGCTCAACAGCACCTAATCGGGCGGAAAAGAAAACAAGGGGAAGAGTTAAACATTAAAACAGGAGGCCGCGGGTGGCTTTGCGAGGGGGAGCCGAGAGAAAGCCAGTCCTGTCCCATCGATCCCAGGATGAAAAGGGAGAAACAACAGGGAGGGCGTTAACAGAATGGAACATCTGCCACCAGTATCGATTGGAAGCCTCCAGATGTTCCAAGCTGAATGTCTTTCACGCCACGTTCCGAAGTTCCACGTTCTGCATGCAAGACCTGGCTTGCTTCGTCACCCTGGGAGGAGGAAGGGGGGAAGGACGCTCTGGGCTACCAGCCCCATCATCCTCTTCCAGGGGGCCGAGAGGGATGGTGTTCGGCTGGGGGCAAGCCCAAGTGGAGGACCCCAACCAGCCCACTCTCGCCCTGGAGACGGTTCAACCGCGTGACGCCCCGTTCTTCAGCCGCGAAAACACGGAGATTCAATTCAGTTCAACTTAATCAAGGTAGACTCCAACCAAGATGTACTCTGCACATGCTCGGGAGCCTCTGGGGAGCAGAGATGTTGCAAAACGTTCTCACGAAGAGAGGCGGGTTTTTCATCTCGCAAGGAAGGCGGATGGGAAGGACAATTCTCCGCATACTGCGTGGGATCCCTGGCAGAGCAAAGATGCCCGAGCAGAAATGGCCCTTTTGGGGTGGATGAAGAGGAAAAGATAGCCAAACGCCTTTCAAAACTGGAGAGAGCGGAAATTCGCTTTCTAAGAAACATTTTTTAAAAAGCGCTTCCTGGGATGAACCGCCCCACTGAAGTCCTGCCAGCCGCAGACTCGTTAGTCATGGAAAAAAATTGTGGGGTGTGAATCAGGTTCTGTGTTAATGCTTACACAACACACACGTATGAAACCTAAGGGTGGAAAAAGTACAGTATGGGAGCAAACTGGGGAAGGGGAGTTTAATTTCACGCAAGAGCATCAGTACAGAAAAAGGAAGACCAACTCAGGTGAGCGTTTGTGGATCGCGCATTGCCCCCCCTGCTTTTTAAAAGATTTTTCACACTCTGACAAACTCTTTTCGCTCTATCAATCCCCCCCCCGATTCTGCTCTACACCTCAGGCTTTTGAGGCGTACAGACCGGATCCTGAGCCGTTGATTGCAAAGGGCCCCTCTTTTGGCATAAGGACTAGAAACTTGGCCTTGTGCTCTATGGGGTAATCCAAAGCGGCTGTTTCAGGAAGCCAACCCTGGAAGGCTGACACGATTTGCTGGGCTCCCGCAGACTGACGCTTGTTCCCTTCCACCGAAGCAACGTCTGCGAGGAGGAGGATGTTGTGAATCTGCAGGCTCAGACACAAACTGATTTTGGTGGTTAAGCTTGGCTCGGTGACTTCCTTTGCAAGCTCAAATAAAAAAAAAAAAGTCTAAATGTAATCATCGAAGCAACTGCAAACGAACTGAGGCTAAACCCGGCTGTGTACAACTGAGCAAGGAAAAGAGAGAAAGAGAACTGGACGTTCCTTTGCAGCTCCAATTGGCGGAGGGGGCCCGTTGCCCCTCTGCATGATTCTTTGCTCCTGGCTTTGGGCACCAGGGTGAAAATAGCACTGGTGCATCTCTACAATAAACCGGCCACCTTCTTGTATCCGCTCCCCCCGGTCAAGATTCTGGGCACATTTTAATTGGAGCCACCGAGCGCCATTCACAGAGCACCTAAAAGGCCATCAAGTCCAACCCCTTGCTGCCCCTACGGCCATCCAGCCTCTGTTTGAAACCCTGCAGTGAAGGCCAGGAAACCCGGGTCGGAGTCTTGCAAACTCCATGCCGGATTCTGGAGCTTCCTTTTCCATTCAGATGGAAACCAAACCTTTCCTACCGGGGTTCGGGCTGCCTTCATTCAGCAAAGGAAGGGGAGAAAACCCCAAACCTCTTTGCCAATTCACACAACCAAGCCGGTTCGCCACCTTTGCGCCACGAGGAGCAGCTCCGCGTGAATTGCAGCCTGCTCCATTTCTGCTTCCATGCACTGTGTGAACCCAGACAACGGGTTCATTCGACAAGCAGGGTCAGGAAACCCACAAGTGTTTCCGAGAGCAGGAAAAGGGGACAGCAGGAGTCAGAGCTGAGGGGTTTCCCCTTTTGGGGGAATTCTTAAGAAGTGGATTAAGCAACGCTTTTCCGAACAGCAAACCAACCACCCTGCTTTAAAGGCAAGCCAAGTTGGGAAAAAAAGAAAAGAAAAAACTCTTTTAAGTCATAAGTGACAAAGGACAGATCCGCTCCCTTCGAGGCCGAAGCCTCCAGGCATTGCTGGACACCGGGAGAAGAGAAAAGTCATTTTCCCACCTTCACTACGATTTTACTTCCAACTCTGAAAATTGCAAATGCAGAAGAAAAAGCAAGCGGCGCTTTCAGCCTCAGTCTTCCCATCTGTGGTATGGGCCCAGGCAAAAACCTCCAAAATTACAGTAGTGAATACTCAAAAAAAAAAAAAAAAAATCACTTCTATTCTGCACTCGAAGCAGCTCAGGTTTGAGAATGGGCTGATTAACCCCCATTTTTCCCCACCACACTGCAACAAGAGATTTTTCTGATATCTCATTTTTCTCCTTTCAGATGCTTTTCCTTTTCCACATCCACACAGCGAGAAGGGAGACACCGATGTATATTTCGCAAACATCTCAAAAGGAGAAAGAGCATCTGGCCAAGAGCAACTGAAATTTTGAATCTTGCAGCTTTCCAGTCCCTGGTGAGGAAGACTGAGCCTCCTCACGGGGCATGCCATCCAGTTTTGTAATCACTCTGTCCTGGTTCAGACATTGAAATGGAACCCCAAAACCACTTCTGCTAATTTGGGAACTTGCACAATGGCGGTTTGGTCGGTAAATCATGACTGCGGAAAGCGTTCAGTTTGTGTCAGATAATTCAAGAGAGAAACTCCCACCCCAACAGCTGAAATGTCGTCAAAGCTCCATTTTACCTCCCCCTAAATATAATATATTGTAATATAACTATAAAATCACCTTTCTAGCAAGGAAATCTTCGAGTGAAGAGCAAACCACCATTTTAAGGCACTAGGAACGGATTTTTAAAAAATTGAAAACTAAGCCAAACAATGTAAGTTTTTTAAAGTCAAAGAATGAGGGAAAAAACCTGTTTTCTGCTCTAGCAGCGCTGGAAGCAGAAAGGACAGACTATTTGCCAGAGCTGAGTCTCGGGGATTTATTTCAAACACTGGGGATCTCCTTCCTGCACCCCAAAAGGCTATCCAAGGTTTCCGCAGGCTGGCTCTGAGATATACACTTTCTACATGCAGGGACGGTGGCCGGGGGCGCCTGAGAAACGCCGCGTGCGGAGACGTAATCGGCCAGAGGAAGGAAAAACTCCGCTCGGTCTTCCTCTGTTCAGAACAGGCTGTTCTTTGGAAAAACGGGAAAAAAAATGCGAGAAAGAGGGTCGGAAAAACCGCCGTGGGGCTATTACATAATGGAGCATTTGCAAGCTGCGTTTCCCCAAATCTCTGCTAGCCGAGAGATGCTCGGTTGCGAAACGAGGGGGGGAAATAGGTAAGGTAGCAGATCGGAGGAAGCCTGGACTGGCTTTGGGCTCCCACCTGGACGCCCCAGCTGAAAAAGCAGCCTTGCGCTTCCACGCTCAGCCACTGTTAAACCTCAGATGCCCGAAGTCCCATCATCCACACCCTCCCTGCCCCAAACAGCGTCGGCTTCTACCGACCCAGAATTCTTGTGGTGGTGAGTTCCACGGTCCTAACAAGGCAGCGGCGAAGCCGAACGCGCGCCGAGGGCTGGGAGAGCAAAGCAGGAGAGGGTTAACGGCTGTTGAATCACGGTGACTCACAGGTTGGCTATTTAATTACCCGTGCAAAGCTTTGGGAAGATCCATCACGCCTGTTTCTCACACGCCCGGGGATTCCAATGCGCACCGGCCACTTCCATTCCAGCCGTGAGACCGGATCAAAAGGATGATTCAAGGCCAGCAAAACATGCCACAAGAGCCGATGCTTTAAGTGCGAATCGGCAATACCTTCCCGGCTGAGGGCGAGGCCTCTGGAGGCAGCCCGGGAGCAAACACGGAGCCACACTTGCCAAACGAGGGTGCAAAACCCACGTGCAAGGCCCAGCCTGTTGGAGGACCCTGACGCCAAGGCCGCTGCTTTGAAACAATCAGCGTGCGGGGCTCTGCACACCCCCTGCTGTTTCCCCCTTTTCACTCCCACACCCCTTAAACGTGTGCAAGAATGCACGTGTTGCACACGCAGAGCGCCATGCTTTTGATACCAGCTGTATTGGTATCAAAAACTAGGCTGCATCCCCGAAGGGCCCCGAGACAGAAAAAATGAGCTCTCTGCAAGTGAAAAATTCAACTAGGACAAAAATCTCCACGCTGGGCAAAAGCCACCCTTTCATTCCTACCGCCCGGCCCCACAATGCCCACTTCAACTAAAAAACGATGCCAGTTTCTCCTCCGGGTCGGCGTGACCACCCAAAGCATCAATTAACCAAAGAATCCAGAATCGGCCCCAAAGTCACCAGACTGAAAACCGACCCAACAGGGCACGATGCTCAAACGCCGGGCGTTGGGCACGCCGTCGTCCTGCCGGAGCATATCCTGCAAACAGACCTGGGGGGGGGATTGGGAAGGCAGAATCGCAGAAAAATGAATAAGCTGATGAAACTCCCAAGCTGCTCCCAAACAGGTTTCGGGGCGTCGCTTTGCAGACACCGGCTTAAGCAAGCGTGGAGCGTTTAATCTCGTGCATCAAACTGGGAAGGAGTCAGGTTATTATCAGCAACACGCTCGTGTATGGGGCATGTGAGTTTTTGGGCACACGCCTCCTCCCGTCAAAAGCCAACTTGAGCAAATCGGCTGACCCGTCTGTGCTTTCCCTGGCCATAAAGGGAAGGTGTTTCCTGCTCCAGTTCGCTAGATTTCCTTGGGGTCTCTCATCCACCTACCAACCAGACCCGACTGTGCTGCCTTCTAGCAAGAAATTCCTCCGGGAAACCTCCTGGCGTGGCTAAGCCCAATAAAGAGGAAACTTAATATTTTTAACGTGTTCAAGGAGAGGCACGCCAGGTGGCGGGACCCAAACCCTCCATTCTGCTCATTTATGTCCAAATCAGCAGCACGTTTCTTGCATCG